ATTTCCGAGTTTGATAAATTACCGAAATCTCTGTAGAAGTTGGAAATTAATCAGGAAAATAAAAAGATTCCTTAACAACCTGACCTCAAAATATCCAACATGGCCACTTTGAAAGTAATTTATACTGACAGCTGTGCTTCAAATCTGTCTCACAAGAACAGTCTGCCTCATCAACATGCTACAATGTGTGAAAGCGCTAACATAATGAGCTTATATTTTTAGTAACCTTCATACATTTTGGTGATTATAGTACGTTGCAAACAATTCATATCAAAACTCTTTAGTAAAACATAGGATGCCTTAAGCACCTCGAGTGTAACTTGTACTGTACTACAGTTTGAGAAGCAAACTTCCAAAGTCCTGGACTTATTGTGGAGCTCTTTTCCTTGGCTTTTCAGTAGGAATAAGTCTAGAAACTCTTTTTGTGATGTTTCTGGTGCCTTTGAAAGAGAAACAGACCCACAGCATCACAGTCAGTCACTGTATCTGACAATGTATGAGGTGCCAAATCCAGCAGAAAACCTCATCTTGGGGATTATCTAATAAAAATCTTGCTTCGGTTTCTCCATAGATGTTGCAAATTTAATGTTTTTACTTTTTTTTTTTATTGTATTCTAGTATTATTCACAAAATGGATAACTTTTGGACTTCATTGCAAGTTTTCAAAAAAAAAAGAGCTTTGGGGATTTTCTCTGTACCTTTCACCCCTCCATGGTGAGATGTTCACTATTTGGCCTAGTGATCTGTGTGTAACAGAAATGGGCATCTGTATCTTTATGGGTTTATTTTACTAACACATTATATTGTCCAAGGAAATCTGGTAAGCTTAAAAAGTAAAAAATAAAGATTTTCAGATGTTCCAACTGTTGTGTCATCTATGACTTATTCGAAAACAATTATCTCCTAACAGGGGTTAAAACAAAAGTTTCTGTTTTTATACATTCTTCAAAATATTATGTTACTGCAATTAACCCTATAATGCCAAATTTATCATATTTGATACATACGGTTTCTGCAATGTTTTGCATCTGACACCTTTTGCATAATTTAATAGTAAAAACTTTGCTCAAAATCCTATTGTACACAATCAGATATACCTGATAACAGAGGGCAGAAGACTACACAAAAAATTATTTTGACTTATCGCATAGTAATAAATTATTAATATCAGAAATGTATTTCTGTTTTTTCTTTTTACATATTTTGTTAAAAGGCCAAATAAGGATTTCAAACCAAAAAAAAGTAATTTTCTGTTTTGTTTTATTCTTGGATCAGGCTTTAAAGGGTTAATGATGTATAATTTTCTAATTTTGTTACAGAAAAATGCCAATAAATAAAGTAAATAATAAAGAAAGATCAATAAGAGAGTAGATTTATTTTTTTGAAAAGCATAAAAAAGATATCAAGTCAAAGTTAAGGGATCGTACCGCTTAGTTTATTACCTCACATGTGCACAATCAGCATAACAAAAAAAAAACAATACAAACCGAACAGAAAAGGTAAATTTTCTAGAGTCCCAAATCATCACTGATCAAATAAATTAACAAAACAGTAACAAAAGTGAAAAAAGTGGTTTACCCAAAGCAGTTCAAGTCTTCCAAATGTTTGATAGCTCTTTGTACAAACCGGGATTATAATGGAGAGTATTGGTCACTGCAGCACAGGAACACTTCACAGGTTATGCTCTGTATAGCAAGTAGCTGGCAAATAGGTCTCACTCAGGGTCTATAACCTTTAATCATCAGTCCATTTAATTTTGCAAGATCTGACAACTAAGGAAACTTTTATTTAAACGTAGATTCTTAAGAGAAAAGAAAATAACTAACAAAGCTAAATCTGCTCCTGTTGATAATTTGTAAAATACAGACAGTTTATAAAAGCTTAAAAATTGTTCCGATTACCTCCATCTACAATAACCTAAGTGTGACTTTTATTACAGTAACAAAATAAAACCACTTCAATGTGTTAAGGACACATAATCAAAGTACCTTTCATAAGGTATTGCTGCTTGTTAAACATTTCCACATTTTGTCACACTACATCCACAAACCTGCAGGTATTTTATTGAGATTTTTCATGCTAGATCAACACAAAGTGATGTATATTGTGTTGCAGAGGGAAATCGATGTGTGGTTTTCACAAAAAAAAAAATTCAAAATAAGCATCTTATAGCGTGAATTGCAAGGGCTCCTTTACTCTGACATAAAAAAAAAAAATTATAATAATACAGAAGTTTAGGAAACATTGTTAATAGGTGTAATCAAATATGGGTTTGAAGCAGGGGTGGAATGAGTGATTTTTTTCCCAAGTCTCAAGTCTTTCCATCCAAGTTTTGAATGAAGTCTCAACTAAAAATAGAACATGGCAGATTCAAATTCTAGCCATAAAATATTAATTTTAAGTCTTACATAAGATATTTGACCAATCAAAACGTTATCATTATTTCTGGATTGGTAAACCATTTTAAAAGGTGTTTTTGTTAGCCTGAAAAACCAGAAGGGGAAAGTGAACTTTAAATATCTCAAAAAATCAGTGCTGTTTCACCTTGCAGTTAATAATACCTGGAAGCATTTAAATAGCAAGTAAACAGAAAATAAAAAATGAAGTAAATAAAAAATGAAGAAATTGGAAAAAGACATTTCTTCTACACAAAAAATGGAACTATGGAAACTGCATTTAAAATACTGCATAAGTTGCATCAGATCATTGAAAAACAAACCTGTTTTTTCTATCAGCTGCACAGCAATGAACACCCTCATCTGTCTGATTCTATTAGTCATGGTTAGGCACTGCTGTTTGCCTGCTTGGTTTGGGCTCGAAGCTTAGATGATTCACAATTATAAATCCATTTGTGTTGCTCTATAGAAAAAAAAATCACATAGCTTGAAGTTGCCACATGAAGAAATCTGGAAAAGTTAAAGAAACATAAATGCCTTTAACTATTACTATCACATGCCAGTTGTGGCCTATATGTTCAAGCAGTACCTGAAATAAATCAAATCAAATTTTGTTGGTCACATCCATGTTTTTCATGGTAAATACCTACAAGGACAGAAATATAAGAGGTCTGTGACTAACAGTTTACCTTGCAAGCAAGATCAACTGTTGCAAGATTTGTAAACTCACAAACTCCTGAAAATGCATCTTGCCAGAAGCCAACAGATGTGTCTGGCCTCCATGCAGAAATGTCTCAGGCCAATGAAAAGCACTGACATGTATGACGTCAACATGTCAGCCAGAGGCATAATTCTGAAGCAAAACAAACATGGCTGCACCAGTTTCAACTGGAATACCTTCTCTATAAAAACAAGCAAAAGGAGACGATTTGTGCCTTTTGTGGATGGAAAGAAGCTTCAACAGAGCGCCGGCCTTTCCAGGGTTCACCCCGCCTCTCGCACATTGACTGACGGAGATAGGCGCCGGCCCACCGCAACCCTGACAGGACTAAGCGGGAGAAGATGGCTGGCTGGATGTTCTTACCGACTGGATTTGGTATAAGTTTGACTCATCAGTTAACTCCGTAAAACTATTTCAGAATTTGAAACGTCTCAGCTGCTACTGCAGCTTTGATTGGCTAAAAGCTCGACATGAGAAGCAGGTAACCTCTGAGCTCGAAGAATTGCTTCCCGGATTGATTGATGTAGTTCAATTTGAATTCAATACAATCTGGGTTATGCCAAGTTAACTAATAGTACCTCAAATGTCCAAAATAAATAAAACAAAGAAAAGCTGAGCTTGATTGTTTAGTAGGACTAATCCAGCTACTTTTAATCTCAGAACCAAAAAAAGAGTCTGTTGGATAATAAAAACATAAAACCAGGATGTGGTGCAGCCCAGTGTACTCCGATGGTAAGTGGAGCCGTGAAGCCTCTCCTACAGTAGGGTTGGGCCCTTAGTGGTGTAGTTCATGGCAGGAAAGTGCCGGCTGTCCACATCCCAGTGGCCGAGGGGCTGTTGGGGAGCTGATGGGACAGTTGGGTTCCAGTGGTTTATGTAGCTAGCCATCAGCAGAGTCAGCTCCAATATCTGAGACAAAGTCACAGTAGAAAAAATTAGATGGATTACAGTTGATCTAATCACTTTAACAT